AGCTCCACGATGCACTCTCCTTTCTCCATCACCTGGCATGCTGCTCAACGCTGTACTCAGTGGGCATTGAGCTCCCGGCTTGTATGACAGCCCCCAACTCGAGGGCACCTAAAAAGGAGGCTCCTGAATTCCGTCACTGTGTCCCACCCGCAGGTCACCGTAACTGACCCACACCTGGAGCACAATATACACTGTGCTTTAATTGAGCCAAGAGGCATAGTGAGGGAAGGTCAGAAGGAAGCCTGAGCCTGGCCTCTGCAGTCCATGCTGCTATGATACGGACCCTGTCCAGAAACCGGACTTGCACTCAAGGCCAGAGGGCAGGGGCACAATAACCTAGGGGAAGACACCACATCCGGTCCACTGCAAAATGGATGAAGTGATACAGCGGTGGCCAGGGAAACGAGGACATCCTCTGTGGCACTGTCCTATCTGGGAAGAAATGGAACGGCACATGGAAGGAGGGAGGAAGACACGAAGCAGCACAGGGTTGAAGTAAACTCTGGGGGGTTTAGAGTCTGAGGATGAGAACAGGCTGCATGATGAGATGGTGCCGCTGGCAGTGGACAGCTTGTGGCAGGATCTGAGTGTGAAGAGAAGCAGGAGAAGGGGACACTAGGCAGGCTCCTTTCGCACAAAAGATTCCACAACCCCGCAACTGGACTTAGCGCATAATACAAATAAATACACCCTCTGAAGCTGTGTCAAAACAGTTTACAGACAGGTGTAAACACCCTGCTCCCAAAAATTCCCTGGGCCTGCCTGTGCCAGCAAACTGCTACTGTAACAAAGGACACAGATGGTGAAAGGGCCCACACCAGTGAGCAAGCTAGTGTATTCAAAGCCATGGTGAGCCGGGCATGGTGGCTCTCGCTGGTAACCCCGGCACTTAAAAACCAAGGCGGGCAGGTCACTTGAGGTCAGGAGTTTGAGACCAGCCTGGTCAACAATGGTGAAACCCCATCTCTACTAAAAATACAAAAATTAGCTGGGCATGTTGGCGCACACCTGTAATCCCAGCTACTCCGGAAGCTGAGATAGGAGAAGCACTTGAACTTGGGCGTTGGAGGTTGCAGTGAGCCAAGATTGTGCCACTGCACTCCAGCCTGGGTGACAGAGCAAGACTGTCTCAAAAAAAAAAAGGTCATGGTAAAAGTCTAGAAGGAGTTGGAGTCCTCAGACAAAGCACACAGATAATCTATACAGAAAATCTCAGCTGCTCTCACAGCAAACAGCCAGCAGAGCTGTGGGACATAGCCACGACACCCGAACCTCTCCCCTATGCCACCAGCATTTAGGAATAAACACCTGAGATGTTAACAGGACCAAAGGAATATCTTTCCAAATCAGCATTTTTCATCCTATCCCAGCTCTGAAAGAATAACCAGAAGGCAAACAGGTCTGAGGGGCGGGACTTCCAGAATCACTTAGTAAGAAGCTTGGCTAAACCTCTGCCCAAAAAGCAAGGACACAAATGGACGAAGACATCAAGAACCACCATTTAAGGACTTTCAAACCGACCAAAGGCATACAACAAATTGAGAGGCATTTACTCCCGACGATCTAGTCAATCTTGATAAGAACAAGGGAGACGGTGGCATTTTAGCCAGGGGCTGGTCCCGCTGCTCCTGCTACCCCCGCCTCCTTGGCACACAAGTTCTACCTAGCCAGGAAAGACAGGAAGAAGACTATGTCCTGCTGTGCTACCTGCTGGAAGAGGCTGTCTTTATTTGGATCAGAGGGTGGAAAACAAAACACATGTCCAAGGGTGTTGTCAAAAATAACAGTGGGAGGCCTGTAATCCCAGCACTTTGGGAGGCCCAGGCAGGCAGATCACTTGAGGTCAGGAGTTTGAGACCAGCCTGGTCAACATGGTTAAACCCTGTCTCTACTAAAACTACAAAAATTAGTAAGGTGTGGTGGCACACACCTGTAATCCCAGCTACTCCAGAGGCTGAAGCAGGAGAATTGTTTGAACCCAGGAGGCTGAAGTTGCAGCGAGCCTAGATCATGTCACTGTACTCCAGCCTGGGTGACAGGGCAAGACTCCTGTCTCAAATTAAAAGAAAAAAACAACAACAACAGTGAATTTCAGGAGGAAACAGTCAGGAAAGGTAATGCTGCAACTGGCCTTAAGCCGCCAAACTAACTGGGGCCAACGATGAAACAGCGGACCCACCAGAAATTCAACAGGAAGAGCCAGTGCATGAGAGAGCACAGAAGTCCATGGTAAGACCCTAGTTATCCCCAGGGAAACCGTTCCCATAAACTTCATAAAATTAACCAGGGGAGAAGGGAAAGTAAGCATAGCCTGCAGCATGCTCAGCGTTCATCCTGAGGGCACCCTCCAGACCTGCCTCCTCAGTATTGCCAGGGCCTAAATCAGTCGAGAATCACACAGATGCTGCTCCGAGACCCCAGTTCCCCTAACAGCTCTATTGATGGCCACTTGAACGTTACAAAACATTACATTTTCCCTGTGAGATATTCTTTCAGGTCCTACATACCACTGTAACCACCGACATCAGCTGGCCTGAAGGACCCCACTGACACCAGGTGTCTGAGGGACCCCATGGAGAGTTGATTCACCAAAAAATGCAGTTTCCACATCCTGGTATTTCATCCCCCTCACCCCAACCAATGACCCTCACCCTCCATGACCCCCTTAAAAACCGCAGCCCAGAATTCCTCAGGGAGATGGATTTGAGGTCTCCTCCTACCTCCTCGTGGGGCATCCGGCTATCATTAAACTCTTTCTTCACTGCAAAGCCTGCTGTCTCTATGTCATGGGTCTGTGACTATGCAGGAGGCAAACGGGCCTATTCATCCCACAGTGCTGGAAACTTGGGCAGCTGTGCACACGCACAAGCACCCACACACTCAGGACAAACCAGAGAAGCCCCATGAGCCACTGGCCCTGGCTCCATGTGAGACCTTGTGAATTCAGACCAAAAAAACAGCCCTGAAGTTTGAAAGCAATCCCCAAGGCATGCGCAGAGCCGTGGGGGAACAGTGGAAGGCCTGCTGAACTCAAGTTTCAGCACAACTCTCATCAGACGCTGGCTACCCATGAAGCTCTGGGGCACCTGGGGCAAGCCCTGGGAATCCAGGTGGACAGTAAAAATAGGAAGGAGAAAATCATCAACCAGCAGAGACGTCACACACTGAGGAAAACAGACCCCACAAAGATTAGTCAAGGCAAGTTTCCAAACCAATGGACAAACAAGAGCAATAACACGCAGCCCCGGGGGAGGGCAGGGGCTCAGCCTCCAACCTGCTGCCATCCCTTATCTAAAAGGTCCAGCTTTCCACAAAACATTAGGAGATATGCAAAGAAACAGGAACGCATGACTCATGCACAGGTAAAGCTGGCGGCTTCAGGAGGTGCTCTCTCGCTCTGCTTAGCCTTTGCCCACCACAGACTGTCTCACTCCCAACCAGCGACTGGCCACCGATCCACCGTACCCCAGCCACACAGCAGCCCAGTGCAAAAGCAGTAGGCAGAGGGCCCCTGTGTGGTCCAAGCCTTCTCCCACCAAGGCTACCCTCTCCAAAGCCACTGCTGTCTCCAGCAACCTTTCTGAGAGCTCCAAGGAGAGACCATGTGTGTAGACAGGGAGAAGAGAGAAACGTGTCACTGCTCTCCATAGCAGACAGAGTGTAGCCACACACAGGGGGCCTGAGCTGCAGCTCAAATGTAATGATGTCGGGGTGGGGGGAGCCTGAACACAAAGTCAGACGGTGATGCAGGAAGCTGGAGGCGATGTGAAAGCCTAGGGGCTCTCGGAGAAAGCCACCTCCCCAGCCCTCCCTGCCTCAAGCCCACTGCAACAGCACCCTTCTGTATTTGGTAGCTCCGTGCATGTCATGTGTCGTGCAGTTGTACACTGAGGCCTCTGCTGCCTCTGCTGGAAGCTTCTCCCACACCAGTCCCTTGGCTAACACAAAAGCCCAGCAAAACAGTAACCAAGCTGCTGTGTGGACAGAAGCTCTCCAGGAATGGGGCTGTCCCCACGACCAACAACCCCTTTCTTCACTGCAGAGGCGTGAAGGGGAGAGGACTCTTCCCCGAAAAGTAGCTCCGCAAACTTCGATCCACTGACATGACCTCTATCCACCGGAACTGGCCTGTTTATTCCCTCTTGCCATGACCTCATCAGACAACACTCCATGCTCCTCATCCCTTCTGCTGGTTTAGAGACAGCGGCCTCAGTGCCTCAAATCCGCTCTATCACTCACTCACAAGCATCTTGGCTAAGCGATTCTGATGTTCCTAACCAGTCACTGTCCTCTTAAATTTTGGCATGAGGACTGTAAACGACATCCCAAAGGATGATCCTGAACCATGCATGCCTGAAAGTGAAGCTGCTGCCTGCAGCCTGGTCACCGCTCTTAGGCCCTGCAGCCCTCCTGCTCTACACACTGTCCCCGGGCCGGCTCAAACAACCAGCGCTTCCCATGTGTTGAAGACCCAAAAACCCAGAGCACTCCTGTAGACCCCTCTGCCGAGCCAGCAGCTACCTCTGCCCGTGCTGGCCCACAAGCCCCGCGCCACGCAGCTTTGCACCGACATTCACTTGTTACCAGCACATTTGTCTTGGCTTCCTTGGTGCTTCCAAACCAACAACTAGGAAGAGTTGCCAAAAGAGTAAGAAAAATGTACAGGGTAAATATCCGAACTGAGAATAAGTATGCAATAAATAAACTTTTCAAATGAATAGAGAAACGGCAGGAGATGCTGCTTTAATCACCACACTCCTGGATTCGGCCCACGGAATCTCCATGTTCCAAGGACATAAGAGTTTGCAACACCAAACAATGCACTCAGGCTTCCCTGTGACTGCTTTCCAAAACACTGTCCAAGAACAAACGCTACTGAGAATCCAGCTTTCAGACACACAGCCTCTCCTTTCTGAAAAGGGCTCGAAGCTGTGCTCCAGAAAAGGCTCTATAGAAACCCAGACGTCATGTGGCAAGTGCCGCCTGCAAAGCCAACTCACCTTCACGTGGCTGCAGTCACCTGCTTTGCTGCTCTCAGGTGGGTTCACAGGTTTGCCCTCCACTCGGGGCCGAACGACCTGCCGAAAAGGACTGGACAGGGGAAAACCGCTCACACTGATTCCATCTGCAAAACAAGAACAAAACTCATAAGTAACACGCCAGCTTGGCTTTGGAGGTTTTTGTTGGTGGTGTTGCTGTTGTTTGGGGTGGGTGTTGCTCTGTCCCCCAGGCTGCAGTGATGCAATCTCTGCTCACTGCGATCTTTGCCTTCCAGGCTCCAGTGATCCTCCCACCTCAGCCTCCCTAACACCTGGAACTACAGACTATAGGCACGCAACCACACATGGCTACTTTTTGTATTTTTTGTAGAGATGGGGTTTTACCATATTGCCCAAGCTGGTTTTTTTTTTTTTAATGTAAGGGATTTTGTTCAAAAATTGTGACAATAAGGAGCATGCCAGTTTCTGTCCTGACGTTCTATCTTATATCAGTTACAACCGCCTGATGTGTGCTCCATAAGCACACATTCACATCCTCTGTGAGTAAAAGTTGAGAGTGTATCACTCCTTAAAAAGGACAGCTCCTCACCACCTGGATGTGATGGCCAAGTCCCCAGTCTTCCCTCTGTACATGAACCACGCAGAGCTCATCTCTCCCCTGAGCCTCTACTGAGCTGCTCCTCAGGCTGGAATGAGTCCCCGTCCCTTGGCACAGCCAGCTATCTCTTGCTGCTTGACCTTAGTCTAAATGCCACCTCCTAGCCCAGCTTCAGGCAGCCACCACTCTCTGCCACAAGACCCTACTTAAACCTCCAAGGAGCACATGTAGCCATCTGTTTTTTTTTTCTTACTAGTTAACATTATCTATCAACTGATCCGTCTAACCCACAACTCATCTTTAAGTCCTCTCTGCATCTCACAACACATGTCCAACCCAAAAGGAAATCCTGCTAGCTCTCAGAGTATATCCAGGACAGCCCTTGTGGCTGGCACCCACTCAGGGTCACTGCCGTTTCCCTCCTGCTCTTCTCCCTGTTGCCTTCACTCCTTTATCTAAGTCAACGCCCCAGACAGTGGGCAGAGCTGCCTGAGGAAAGGGGGCTCACACCCTGGCCCTACCACTCAAGAGGAGAGGCCAAAGTCTGCACTGATCTGCAAGGCCACTGCGTGATCCAGCTCTCTGCCACCCTTCAATTACCAGTTAACAGAAGAGAAGACCTGGCTGAAGGAATGAGTTATTTGACTACAGTTTTATATATTTTCAAAAACGTAAAGATATCACCTCATAAGAAGTTATTTTCAAGTAGCTGCAGTTCCTAACAGAACCCAGCTGGCCTATAGGAGAAGTCAGGAGCCTGCCTGTGAGTATGGCAAGTATCACAGAGTGCCAGCATCAACCAGGTCAGGAGAAGAAACCACCACAGACAATCAGTGCAAGAAACAATGTTAATCATGATTAGGGCTTAAGATACAGGGAACAGCAGACAAAAGAGCAAATGGTAGTAAATGAGGGTGGTGAGATGTCAGCTCACATCAGTATGACACTTTACAGTTTCTGAACTTGCCCCCATTTCATTTATTCTTTCTTTTAAGTTCCGGGGCACATGTGCAGGGTGTGCAGGTTTGCTGCACAGGTGAACTTGAGTGCCGTGGTGGTTTGCTGCACCTGTCAACCCATCACCTAGGCATTAAGGCCAGCATGCGTTAACTATTTTTCCTAATGCTCTCTCTCCCCTCACTCCACCTCCTGACAGGCTCCAGTGTGTGTTGTTACCCTCCCTGTGTCCATGTGTTCTCACTGTTCAGCTCCCACTTAGAAGGAAGAACATGCAGTCTTTGGTTTTCTGCTCCTGTATTAGTTTGCTGAGGATAATGAAACTTGCCCCTATTTAAAAGAACAGCAACGAAAAAGCTGCCCACAGTCGTACTGGCAATAACTGGTCCTACACATAGTACTACATGCGAACGGATGTTTAGTAGACTTGACTGGACGGATGGATGGGTACCTGGGTGGCAGGTCTGAAACACACTCAGTGCTTTCGATCCCAAGCCTACGATCCTTTTCACTTTCACAGTTGTTGGGAAAGGAAATTTCAACGGCTGCTCATCTCAAACGAACCCAACTAAGTCACTTCTCATTAACAAACTAAAGCTTCTTGTGACAAGATGAAGAGTATTTACTTTTAATTGATGCAAAATGTGTATTTCAAAATTCCCAGTCACTTAGACCCAAGGCCCTATGCCTAATATCTCTTTGCAAAAATATACAATTACTCAAGCATAATAGAAATAGTTCATAATTTAAAAAAAAGAGAGAACACTTCTCTTAAGCATCATTTGCTGAGGCGTGTTCCCTTAAGTAATTCAACATTCAGGATGCCGAACAATGTTCAAGTAGGAAAGAAGAATTAAGCAATTTTCTATTTAGAGGCTTCAAATCTCCGAAAGCTAAATTTTCTTAAGTTAAAAAACAGTCTACTTGAAAAGTTCATTACACCTTATGCTCAAAATAGCACATGAAGGAACCAGACGTTGTGCTTCTATAATAAGAAAAATGACAAACTGGTCTGTTTCTGTTGCTGGTGCCTATGGAATACACGTCTGAAGACTGTGATCAAACACTTAAGGGTAGGGTCCTCTCAGCCGGGCGCGGTGGCTCATGCCTGTAATCCCAGCACTTTGGGAGGGTGAGGCAGGCAGATCACAAGGTCAGGAGATGGAGATCATCCTGGCTAACATGGTGAAACCCTGTCTCTACTAAAATATATTTTTAAAAAATTAGCTGGACATGGTGATGCGTACCTGTAGTCCCAGCCACTTGGGAGACTGAGGCAGGGGAATTGTTTGAGCCCAGGAGGCAGAAGTTGCAGTGAGCCAAGATCGCACCACTGCACTCCAGTCTGGCGACAAAGCAAGACTGTGTCTCAAAAAAAAAAAAAGTAGGGTCCTCTCTGCACTTCAGAGAAAACAGAGGTGCCCAGTAGGACCCTGTTCAAGCATTGCATGCAGGCAGCAAAGTCCACCTGATGTCCCACAAGCAGCTCAGGCTGGATAGGCATGAAACGAACTTCAGAAGATTCTACTCCTCGTAACATGCTAGGCTACTCAGACCAGCTCAGCCACTGAGAACAGCTAGAAAACATAGACAAAGTACTCTTAAAATCCATGCAAGCATCAGAGAGCTAAGAGGAACTACAAGGCTACTGTCTGGCAGAAGGGCAAAAGAGAGAGACAGGAGCCTACAGATTTCAGAAGAGTTCACCAAGAGGTGAGAATCTGAGCAGAACCTCTGACATATTCAAAGGACTCGATGTGAAAAACACTAGTGTTCAGTGTTCCCCGTGGAGAGTGGACAGTAAATCCGGGAAGCTTCAGGCAGGGCCACAGAGAGAAGGGGAGACTAGAAATAAGGCAGCACTCGCTGGGACTAAGTCCCAGCTTTGAGCCATGTCAGGTCCTGCAACTGGATTTATGCCATTTTTCTACCAAAATTCATTCCTTGTCACTCCTTATTCTACCCCCATTTTTTTTTACCTTTATGCATTGGTAATTCTCTTCCCTCTGACAACCTGACATCCTGATATACCCCAATTTTTGGTCTCAGTTCAAATAATCCCTCTTCCATAATGCCTCCCCTAGCTGCACTAATAGAAAGCAAGTACATCTTCCTGGGAGTTCCAGCATCTTCTTGGTCCTGAGACCCGTGCCTACCTCCTGCTGATCTGTACACAGGCAGAGAGCCCAAGGGCAGGAGGTCAGAGAGGTCAGGGCTGAGGTGCGGCTCCCCTTCTATCTGGCTGAATGACCTTCATCAAGTCACATAACATTCTATGAGCTTCAAATCCATCATCCCCCAAATGGGAATAATTAGATCACATATACTGAGGGGTTATATAAAGAATAAATGAATTACTGCACAGGAAGTATTGCTCTCAATGCCTGGTGCATAGCAAGTATTCAGTAAAAAGAGCTGTTAGCATTCCTACTGCAGCCAATTATGTGTGTCTTAGATGCCTTCATGACTATAAACTCCTTGAAGACTGACTTCTTGTCAGAGTCACCACTGTGTCCCTCATAGTAGCTAATGCAGGCTCTAGCAAATTGTAAGCCCTCAGTAAATAGTAACTAAATGAATGAATAAATTACAGGGTCAAATCCAGTATTTAGCTGACACGCAAACAGTTTACACACACACACTCAACAAAAATTCCATCATTCCGAAGTTTTTACTGCCCACAGACCAGGAGATTCCCGGGTGAAAAAGCACCATGAGTCTCCAGCAAGGCTGTTTCAGCCAACGTAGTGGGTCATGCAGTGGGTCTCCACACAAAAACTGACACAAATCTGAGCAGCCATTTCAACTGGCACCTGGAACGCCTGGAAGAGAGTCACCCATGCAACTGAAAAAAAGGGGGGCTGAAACAGGGAGCCAGGTAACCAGGCTTGGCTGGTCCCACCCCTACAAAGACCAGCAATCTGAAACGCTCGGGATTGAGAGTTTCACAGCAAGCACAGCCGGAACCAGGACAGTCCAGCTCTGTTGGGGGGAAGGGTGTCTATCATTATCGAGGCAGTCCACGACTACTGAGGCAGTTCACCATTACCAGGGAATCCGCCATTACCAAGGCAGTCTGCCATTACCAAGGCAATCCACCATTACTGAGGCAGTCTGCCATTACCAAGACAGTCCTCCATCACTGAGGCAGTTCACCATTACCGGGCTAGTCTGTCATTACTGAGGCAATCTGCCATCACCAAGGCAGTCCACCATTACAGAGACAGTCCGCCATTACTGAGGCAGACTGCCATTACCAAGACAGTTCTAACTATACCTCTATAAACAAAACCACAAGGAAATTCACACCATAGCTGGGCAGAGCCCACGGCAGCTCAGCAATGCCTCTGCTGGCAGACTGTGACTAGGCTACCTCCTCACTGGGCAGGGTATCTCTGAAAAAATGCAGCATCATGTCAGGAACTTATAAATAAATTACCTTCCCAGGACAAAGGACCTGGGAAAAAGTGGCGGTTATGAGTTCTGCTGCAACAGGCTTAAACGTACCTGCCCAGCAGCTCTGAACAGAACAACAGACCTCATAGCTCAGCACTTGAGCTCCTATAAGGG